GCCATTATGGCATTTTATGCCACCCCCGCATTCAATGGGTTTTAAAGCTGTTGCGAGGACATAGAACACTGTAATGGCTTTGATTCCTGGAGCCTCAGGAATACTTACCTTAGGCTCTCAAAGAGCATAGCTGCCTGCAGATCAGCCTGCAGGGGGAGAGGGATGCCTGGACTGTCAGGCAGTCCCCCTGCTGGTGAAAAAAGTTTAAAAAAAAATAATTACACAAATAAAAATAATTAAATATACATCTATAAATATATAAAAATAAAATATATATATCTTTATACTTAGTGTATTTTAATATTAATAAAATTATAAACACTAATATTTGTGTACAGTGAAGTCTCCCGGGTATAAAAGTACCCCGCATGTACAGGTTTTATGATGTATTGGAAAGTTGGAAAGTCAAATATAAGGCTTGTATTTCAGTTTTTTTCACATTGAAATTTCCCAGATTGGTAATATTGCCTTTGAGACCATATAGCCGAAGAATGAGAATTACCCCCATGATGGCATACCATTTGCAAAAGCAGGTATTGCATGTGGGTATGTCCAAAGTTACCGTTCATAATAGTTTTTTGCATTTTTCTTTAAATTAATATATAAGTATGTTCAATACAAGCTGTCATTTTTGTACTTACTCTTATGCATATTTATTTATTTATTTAAAATAACTTTACCCTTTAGCTATTAAGTTAGATCATCCAATTAGCCTTTCTAAATACCAAGTAAAATTGTACATATGCATCTTGTAAACATAATCATGTTAATTTATTTTGCTTTATTTAAAGGTTATATAAAATGTATGCATCTCCCTTATTTTATAACAACATTACATTGTATATATGTATATAGTTATCACATTCCCTTTCTTCCCCTCTTTCCTTTTTATTAATAATTATTTGTATAAACATGTGCCCATTCTGCCCAATAAGGCAGTATTATCTCTCCACTAAGCAGAGTTCAACAATCTTGGGCATTACCCACCCCTGTACAAGCATCCCCCCTCCCTCCCTCACAGCATGATTAGCTGTATGTATTACCTAGCCAACGGCAGATAACCACGCCCCCGGTCCCATATCACGCCCCCTCCATCCTACACTGTACACTCCCTCCCCTACGTCTGGCAATAATAGCTGCTCACTACAGTTCCCAATACCCTCAGCGGCACGTCACATGATCGGCCTGATTCCCAATATGGATGTTGATCACGTGACCAACTTAAACAACGTTTTTATGCTATTTATAACCCTCGTTTTAATTTCAAACTTTAGGGGAAGCTGCCCTGACTTCTAATCTATACACCTGTATAATTATTTATGTATTTTGCAAATGTGATTTATTTTATGACGTCATTTGGGCGCCAAACCCTTTTACTGTTCAAAATCAGTCCTCTTATATAAACCCTACCCTACCAAGCATGTTTTTTGTCTCCACTTGAGAAAGCCATCATAGGTGAAACACGTTGTGGATATTTTAATATTTTATTCTGTATTCTTAATAAAGGTATTTTGGCTACTTTTAATATACCTTGATTGTGCCATTTTACTTGTTTTTATCTTTTATTTTATTTATTTATTTTTGCTTGGGATCCTGATTTTATCCTTCCTGCTGAGTATTACTCTAAGATATCCTAGGTGGGGATTATACCACTCACGCCCAAGTCATTAAGCAGTTCGTCTGCTCAATCATATGTGAGTACCCATTTTATTATATATACTCCTTATATACTATTGTATACAGTGTGCACTATTAGTTGTCTCCTTTCTCTTCTATTATCTATATCAATACAAGACTTGCCAGTCTCCCCGTATCCTATAAGTGGGGATTATACCGCTGTACTGCACGTGAGTAGGACTATATTAGATTCTGTTGTCATTATACTGTTATGGACAGATGAATTAAAATAAAATGGCTATTTACTAATGTCTATTTATTCTCTGTTCACTATGTTAAAACTGGCTTCTAGAGTAAATATTCCCTTCCCCCCTACAATGTGGTCAGCTGCTGTTTACTATGTAAATTCCTCACATCCTGCTAGCCTCCCCCCCCCTTCAAATCAATAAAACCTTGTGTAACCAAAGTTCCTGTGATAACTCCCTTTACTAACTCCTCCCCCACTACCTTTGTGCCAGTTAACAGCTATATGCCACGTATAGCTAAATGGAGGATCAGTGGTTTAGAACTGATAGAAACTTCTCACTCCCCCCTCCCATCGTGTATCCAGAAGTCTATAATGATGACACTACATCCTGTAGGGGGGTTTAAACAAGAGCCCCTTTCTCTGTTAACCAATTGGTGAATGTATACTGTATGTTTAAACTGTGACGTATTTTTGCTTTAAGAAGGAGCCCCCACTCCGGGGAATAAAGCATTCCTGAGTTTTTCACTGATCAGAAACTTTGTCTCCGGTGTGAATTACTTCTAGGGAAAGCGTGCACGCATTAATCAATCAATTTGGAAGGTGTAGATAGACAAATTATCAAAGTTTTCTTTGATCCAAATCAATGCCACCTTTACTAGACGTACTGCCCTATCATCTGTCTTTTCTTTCCACATACGGATAAAAAGACCAACACTTCTCTACGTATCCCATAGTCGAGCTAAATTAGAGCTAGTTTAGCTCGACTACACATGAGTAGGACCAATATAGATCTCTTCTTCCTGCTATCCAACCTTTTTACTAGACATATTTGTACCATTATCTTCTTCTCTCTTTACATACGGATCCTGGAAAAGCTGTCTCCATTTGATCCACACAGAGAATATCCCTCTACATATGCCATTGATGCCACACCAGGCTCAACTAAAGAGTTTGTTTTATATTACTTTGGACTTGGTTTGAATATTATTTTGGACTTTGTTCATATCAGCTGGACTATAGCCAGCTTTGGTGCAACCTTATTTTGTCTTGTTTTGTGTATCATTTATGTTAAACCTTGTGTCAGTTATATGAATACCGTTGTTATCGTCATTTGCAATTACCAATCCCAAATAAAAGGGAAAAGTAAGTACACCTTAGACCAGCTGGTGGCAATACATAAAGTGAGAAAGCCAAACCACCAAGAGTGTGAACTAAATAGCAAAATATTAGAAATATTCCAACAAATGGAACAAAAATTGCAAATAGAAGCAGCATCATGTAAAAAGAGGCATATTAACAAAGCCAAAATAGCATATAATGATGTATATATATATTGCAGATACTTCAAGTGATTCTAATGAATAATATGCATTATATAGAGGCAATCCAAAGACAAATACTTGACATGTTTGCCTACCATAGAAATGTATGTCCAAAAAGCACCATTAAATCATAACTGCAATCTCATAAAACAAAAAATGCCCTAGAAAAATAGAAAATAAATCAATACCAAATATTTAAGAACAAAGCAAAAAAATATTACCAAAAAACCCCCAAAAAAACAATGCAGGGGGATTACTTCACTAAAGACTTATACACACATATATAATTTAACACAAAACAGAGATATAGTCAACCATGATTACAGATGTATTCTGTGTTGAGATATGTTGCTATTTATGTCTTTTATTCAATCTAAAAAAAGATTTTAGATTGAATAAATATTTGACTGTGTCTGTGAAAAAAGCTGGTAAACACAATGCTGGAAAGATGAAGGGTGCATTGGGATTCCTGGGATAGTCAGTTTAGCTATTTTATCGTGTTACAATCATGGGTCATGTAACTACAATGTAGCACAGAGCGGTACAACGTATTACGTTTATGAAAGGTGCATACACTAAGTCCCTATATTCAATGACTGGCATTAGCACCTGTTTCCGTATTTGTAGGGGTCAGGCAGGAATTGTTTCTGTACAGGTCACCTAGTTTTGGATAACGTTTTGAAGGGAGTTTTTCAAAGTGAAGGCCAAAGGATAGGTTAGGGTCTAACAACATACCTAGATATTTGAAAGAACAGATTGAGGTTAGTGTGCTGTTTGAATTTGTTCTGATGCATTGTTGGGAGTTTTGTAATTTGTGTAATTTAGGTACTGTTCCAAAGATCATTGTGACAGAGTTTGTTCTTCCCGATCAACTTTTCTACCTCTGTGAACTGGTCTTGGAGTACATCCTTAAGCAGTGGTAGATTGGGTTTGCTAGCATAGATTTCAGTGTCATGCAAGTACATATAAACAGTTGAGGCTTAGCAGACATTAGGCAGATAATTTATGATTAATGTGAATAGTAGGGGTCCTGAGTATGGAGCCTTGGGGAACACCACATGTGACCAGGAGAGGGAGGTGCTATAAGAAATGAACACATATTGTGATCGATCTTATACATATGATCAAAGCCAGGTTAGCAGACAATCACCAATAGCTGAAATTTTAAGGTTTTGCAATAGAATGCTATGGTCTACTATATCAAAGGCTTTGGCAAAATCAAGGAAAACAGCTCCAGTTTAGTCTCCTTGTTTCATGTCAGTTTGGATGTCATTACAAACATTTAAGACGGCAGTTGTAGTTGAGTGATTTGGACGAAAGCCTGATTGATCAGGGGTCACATAGTTTGATTGTTGATAATACTCATACAGTTAAATGTGAATGCAATGATATCAGATGATTGATCGATACCAAAGTATTGTCCTCACTTTTATGGATAGGTACTATTCTTAAAGACTTCCAAAGTTTGGGTATGTATCCAGATACCAGGGATTCATTGATTAGAGTAGCGGCAAGTTTAGCAATTGCCAGCACACTGAGCTTCAGTAACATTGCTGGGATGTGATCTGGCCCACACTGGTTTTTCAATTTTATATTAAGATGTTTATTAATGACACTAACAGGCACAGTGCTAAAATTGGATTTCTCTAAATAGGGGGAACGTTTCTTGGGTTTGATATGTAATTGTTCACTGACATTTTGGGCCTTTGCATTTTTATTTGTTTTGAGCATGCATTTTACCATTGTCTGTAGTCACAGTGAGTATTCATGAAGCCAGTATGCTTGAACCTTGACCACAATAAATCTCTAAACTGGTACATTTGAATAAAATCAGCTGTAACCCACGGCAGATGTGTCCCTTTTATTCACACTTTATGCAAAGGGAGATGCAAATTCCAAGCTCACTGAATAAAATAAATTGCATAGTCTAGATCTTTTTAACCTGTGCCATGGTCATTGGCACCAAGATGTCAGGCAGTCCCCCAGTCTTCTAAAAAAAAAAAAAAAAAAGTTAAACACATTAAATAAATATATTATTTATATACATGTGTTATATATGTATGATGTATTATAAAATAATAAAAGCATTTTATAATATATTACACATATATACATACATATCAAAATACACTATTAATTAAATCAGATATATGTATTATATATTTATTATATATTAATAAAATGCTTTAATTATTTTAACATATATTATACATACAGTTGCAAGAAAAAGTATGTGAACCCTTTGGAATGATATAGATTTCTGCATAAATTGGTCATAAAATGTGATCTGATCATCATCTAAGTCACAACAATAGAAAATCACAGTCTGTTAAACTAATAACACACAAAGAATGAAATGTTGCCATGTTTTTATTGAACACACCATGTAAACACTCACAGTGCAGGTGGAAAAAGTATGTGAACCCCTAGACTAATGACATCTCCAAGAGCTAATTGGAGTGAGATGTCAGCCAACTGGAGTCCAATCAATGACATGAGATTGGAGGTGTTGGTTACAGCTGCCCTGCCCTATAAAAAAACACACACCAGTTCTGGGTTTGCTTTTCACAAGAAGCATTGCCTGATGTGGTGAATGATGCCTCCCACAAAAGAGCTCTCAGAAGACCTAGTATGAAGAATTGTTGATTTGCATAAAGCTGGAAAGGGTTATAAAAGTATCTCCAAAAGCCTTGCTGTCCTCAGTCCACAGTAAGACAAATTGTCTATAAATGGAGAAAGTTCGGCACTGCTGCTACTCTCCCTAGGAATGGCCGTCCTGTAAAGATGACTGCAAGAGCACAGTGCAGACTGCTCAATGAGGTGAAGAAGAATCCTATAGTGTCAGCTAATGACTTACAAAAGTCACTGGCAAATGCTAACATCCCTGTTAGCGAATCTACAATACGTAAAACACTAAACAAGAATGGATTTCATGGGAGGATACCACAGAGGAAGTCACTGCTGTCCAAACAAAACATTGCTGCACATTTACAGTTTGCACAAGAGCACCTGGATGTTCCACAGCAGTATTGGCAAAATATTCTGTGGACAGATGAAACCAAAGTTGAGTTGTTTGGAAGAAACACACAACACTATGTGTGGCGAAAAAAAGGCACAGCACACCAACATCAAAACCTCGTCCCAACTGTGAAGTATGGTGGTGGGGGCATCATGGTTTGGGGCTGCTTTGCTGCATCAGGGCCTGGACGGATTGCCATCATAGAAGGAAAAATGATTTCCCAAGTTTATCAAGACATTTTGCAGGAGAACTTAAGGCCATCTGTCTACCAGCTGAACCTCAACAGAAGATGGGTGTTGCAACAGGACAATGACCCAAAGCATAAAAGTAAATCAACAACAGAATGGCTTAAACAGAAGAAAATACACCTTCTGAAGTGGCCCAGTCAGAGTCCTGACCTCAACCCAATTGAGATGCTGTGGCATCACCTCAAGAAAGCGATTCACACCAAACATCCCAAGAATATTGCTGAAATGAAACAGTTCTGTAAAGAGGAATGGTCAAGAATTACTTCTGACCGTTGTGCACGTCTGATCTGCAACTACAGGAAACGCTTGGTTGAAGTTATTGCTGCCAAAGGAGGTTCAACCAGTTATTAAATCCAAGGGTACATATACTTTTTCCACCTGCACTGTGAATTTTTACATGGTGTGTTCAATAAAATTAATTATTTGTGTGTTATTAGTTTAAGCAGACTGTGATTGTCTATTGTTGTGACTTAGATGATGATCAGATCACATTTTATGACCAATTTGTGCAGAAATCCATATCATTCCAAAGGGTTCACATACTTTTTCTTGCAACTGTGTATATATATATATATATATATATAACGTCCTAGAGAAATGTACTCAGAGGGCTTGTAGTCTTGTGCAATATATCCTTTATTTGTGCAAAGTTACAGTCACTGTTTCCTTCCTACTTGGACTTATTTCTCCATTTATATATTTAATAGAGATGAGTGAACCCAAACTGTAAAGATGAGGTTCGTATCGAACATTATGATTTTTGGACCCCGAACCCAGACATTTCAGTGACAGTTCGGGTTTGGTGTTCGGCGTTCGGCGATTTAATGGTGCGTTTTGAAAAGCTGCAGGGCAGCCAATCAACAAGCGTTTGACTCGTGTGCCCTTAGAAGCCATCACAGCCATGCCTACTAATGGCATGGCTGTGATTG